ACAAAGCCTAGAACAAAACATAATGATTCACACATCTTAGGGGAGGCTCTCCCCCTCACTCCACACTCCACCTCCTGAAAGAATTAAATACTGTAAATAAAGGAAGTCATTTCAGGAATTTTGTGCTGCTGTTGCTGACATGTTTGTTTGAAGCCTCCTTGGAAATTATATTGTTTGCCAGGAACACCTGATATTGCTGTTACTTTTGTGATGTCAGCAACTTGAAATATTTTTGCCACAGCACTGCGACATTTTCCACAAGGGGAGGTACTGAATTCTGGAGTTTCTGCTCAGAATAAAGCCAGACAATTGATTTAATCTGAAATATTTAACCTCCTGTTTAATAAAATACATCCTGTGTGTCTCAAGGATTACAAGCAGTACAAAAGCATCACTGGTGAATTATAGCCCTTGAATTTATGGTAACTGAAAGGCAACCAAATAAGGAATCTTGTTATTGTTGAACAGCTCAGATGAACATTGGAATGATCATTTTTAGACAGCTGTCAGTCTTTGAATATTCCATTATGTTTGGCCAATTTCAGATAATTCGGAGAGGAGAGCTGTATAGTTTACAAATAAACAATCAAAAAAATTGTTAAAGATATCTGCTAAACATGCTAATCCCTCAAATGTGAGTGATGGACAAAAGAAACAAAATAAAACCCTGTGTCAGATTATTACACTTCAAGCCAAATGATCTTCTTTAGCTAGTTTAAGAGAATATTTGAATTCTTTCATTTAAGAAATATATAATTGTCTTAATTCACATGTTCTATGTTCAGGCTCAAAAAAATTTTTGTTTTTGTTTTCTTGTGTGGTACTGTAGCAGCCTCTAGTGGAGGAGGGCATGTCAACTTCATTATTGTTTTTCAGACACAAACCGGTAGTGGCAAATATGATTGTGAGTTTATCAAAACTCTCTATTGTAAGTAAGGTCTTGTGCAAAATAAAATCTATTCTGCTTTACAATCCTCTGGGAATAAAATTGAGAAGCCTCCATTTACTGCAAACTGAAGTCTTTCAAAGAATCATGGGACCACAAAATGAGATCTAGTTTGATCTATCAGTTCACTGTGATACAGAACATTATCTGTATCATCGGAGTTGATCTTCTGAGTTGAAAAGGCAATAGAGTCTCTATCATATAATAGCTGAAATATGTGAAGAGGTTGGAATAGGCTTATTCACAAAGCAAGCATTTGGAGATTTCACTGGATCAAGGACCAAACTAGCAAAAGGAGGTGGATGTCCATATAAAATTAAAAAGTAGATGGAAAACTAAAATGAAATTAAGTGATTATTAATCTTAGTGCTTGTCATGAATTATTGAAGAAATAAGTACTAATACCTGCTTTCTTATGTTGACCTCCATACCTCAAGTGTCAATTGATAAAGAAAAAAAAGTGACAAGAAAAAAAAAACTTTTACAGACATCTCCCATTCCACTCCAAATCTCATATGTAGTGGAGAATGCAGAATAAAGAATACAGGAATCTACCATTTTTGGGGGCGGGTTGGTTCATAAAGGGAGCTGCATGTGTTCCGTGGGCTGCAATTTGTGCACTTCAGTATAATATGATCATCTACGTTATTCACAGAGTGCAGTGGGATTTCTGCCGATAGATTAGTTCCTTTAGCAGTGAGACACCTTCCTTTAATCTAAAGAAAAGAAAGATGGTTCAAGTGTAAGACATCTAGAGCAATGACACTCAGGAACAAAAATCCCTTGAAGTCCTATTAGTTTGTCCCAACCCCACCCCAAAATAGCTCAACTCTGAGACTAATCGATTTGATTTAAAATAAAATAAAATAAATGTATAACCAAATAAAATAAAATAAAAAATTACCTATTTTTTATTTGGAGCAGCCAAAAAAGCCAATACAATCCTTCGTTGCATAAACAAAGGCATAGAATCAAAAATATGTAAAGCATTAGTTCCGCTTTATAAAACCACACCCGGAAAGCTGCATCCAGTTTTAGTCACCACATTACAAAAAAGATGTTGAAGCTTTGGAAAAAATGCAGAGAAGAGCCTGGAGACAAAAACATATGAAGAACGGTTGCAGGAATTGGGAATGACTAGTCTAGAGAAAAGAAGGACATGATAGCAGTATTCCAGTATTTGAGGGGCTGCCACAAAGAAGAGGGCATCAACTTATTTTCCAAAGCACCAGAGGGCAGGACAAGAAACAATGGATGGAAACTAATCAAGGAGAGAAGCAACCTGGAATTAACGAGAGACTTCTTAGCAGTGAGAACAATTAACCGGTGGAACAGGTTGCCTTCAGAAGTTGTGGGTGCTTCATAACTAGAGGTTTTTAAGAAGAGACTGGACAGTCACTTGTCTGAAATGGTATAGGCTCTCCTGCTTGAGCAATTGGGTTGGATTAGAAGACCTCCAAAGTCCCTTCCAGTTCTATTCTGAATTGAACTGAAAAAATAAAACAAAGTAATAAAACAAAATAAAAACCTTCCTAAAAGCATAACCCTAGAATCAGATGACCCGCCAGACCAACATCACTCATCCATCCTCAATAGAGGTATCGAAAGGTCCAGCTTTTGCAGGGGTCCACCCTCCAAATTTAAGGCAACCTCGCCCCTTTTTGAGACCCAGATGACTAAGTTGAACTCCCCGTCCTGCAAACTATGGGGAAGGGCAGAAGATACCATCACCACCCTTTTGACAATCCAACCCCTAATTTCATTTGAACAGCGCCTGGTGGCACAAAAGGCACAATTTCCTTTTGCAGTGAGATTTTCTGTGGAATCAGGAAGGTTCTCTGCACTTTGCATCATGCTTGGGGAGAGGTGGTAACCAGGCGGGATGGGGATGGGGAGTTCTGTCCACACAGCCTGGAAATGTGGAAAAAAACCCTCAGTTCCTTCCTTTGGGCTGGTGGCTGCAGAAACAGGTGCAGTGTGGGGCTGAGGCCAGGCAGTGGATTCTGCTTCAATTCTCCCACCCTCCTGCATAACTCACGCCAGGGCAAATCTGAAGAGGTTCAGCTGTGGGCGAATGGTGGGCATGCTGAGGCAGGATGGAGCCCAGCATCCTCCCTTTTGTTCGATTTAATCTTAGGCAAACACAATTATTTTAAAGCAACTCTCTTGGTTTACTCTCTTTATGTTAGGATCTCAGTTAACTTTGAATGGTTCCCTTCCTATATATTTAATTATGCTTCCAGTATTTTCAGAGCAGTTTTTCTCATCCTAAGCAACTCTAAGATGTTGGATGTCAGCTTCCGGAATTCTCCAGCCCATGTTCTGTTATGCTTCTTTGTCTTTGTATCCTTCAAAGCACCAGAGTGGTTTTTATTTCTTCCCTATACATTGTTATGAAGTCACATCAGTGGTGGGTTGCCCCCGGTTTGCACTGGTTCTATAGAACTGGTAGTAAAACTGGCGGGAGGCTCCGCCCACTGACCCCGACGTCATCAAAACGCTTCTGCGTATGTGCAGAAGCTTCTGTGCTTGCGCGCGGCCCCACTACAAACCAGTAGTAAAGGTAAGTAGAACCCACCCGAGTCACATGTTTAAATCACATAGATTTCATAGCCACTTCTTTGCTGGTATCACGCAAGTCTATCTCTACATTCCATTATCTCATTCAATTACCTTTCTCCAGCTGCCTCTTGAATCTTTGTTATTGCTTCATATGCATATGCAAGACTGAATTTCCAATTGAAATTTCTTTCCAAACTCATTTTCTCATTCTGTTTAACTGCAGTGTCACTATTTAACATAGACATGTCAAACTCAAGGGTCATGACCAAGATCCAGCCTATAATGTGTTTAGATCAGTGGTGGGTTGTTACCGGTTCACACCGGATTGGGCGAACCGGTAGCAGTGGCAGCGGGAGGCTCCGCCATGCACAAGTGAGTGAACCAGGATTAACGGGATTTGGAACCCGCCCCTGGTTTAGATCTGGCCCGCAAGGAGACTAGTAGGAGGTGATTGAGTAGTTACGTCCTCACTTCTTCATGTGTCTTGTCAGTGGCAGCAGCGCTAGCAGAGAATGGGGTGGCGGGAACCTCTCCCAACATGTGGGTCAACAAACCAAGGTAACATCCTTACCGCGCACGATTAGAAATGGGGATTCCTTTTTGAGAAAGGCCAGCCTCGCTCGTGCAGGACTAGGGAGTACTGCTCTCCTGCCTCTTCCTCTTGCTCTCCAGAGATCTGTCAAGGCAGAACCTCCTGCTTTGCTGGAGGGGGCACTGGACAGGGAAATGCCAAGGATGTCTGGGATTGGGAGAAGAACGTCTCCTTTGGCGTACATATATCCACACACCATTCCAAGCTTGGAAACTTATCCACATCTGAGCTAGCAAACTGCCAATCATGCCTGGGCTTAGGGAGAAAGCCTTCTCCTTCCTTTGTGGATAAAAGTCCCCAAACATGGAATGCAGTGTTTGTGTGTGTGTCTGTGTACACGCGCACGCATTTGGCTGCCAGCAGTTTGGGGAGGTGAGCTTGTGAAGCACCGAGCTGTCTCCATGTCAAGGTAGCCACTGCGACTTGTTCTGTCCTGACCCAGCCATCCTGAGTCAGGTGCGCCCAGTGAGCAGTATTGAGCCGGCTATCCGGCCATCCGGCCATCCACACTTAGTAGCGGCAACCCAGTGTGACCACTCAGCCACACCTATCCGGTCATGCCTACCTGGCTGCTGTGAGCCATCATAGTTTTACATGCAACTGGCCCTTTTACGGCAATCATAATGCTAACACGGCCTTCCAATGAAATTGAGTTTGACACCCCTGATCTAACCCATTGAAAATGATTTATTTCCTTATTTTTCTTAGTATTTCCTTATTTAGTATTATCTGTATTTAGAACGCTGCCTATTTTTAAGATAATTTAAGATGTTGATTTTTTATTTTGGGTAACTTTGATGGAAATTCTATTGCATCTTTTAAAGAAAGTTTTGTTTTTTTGTGTTTACTTTAGTTGTGCTGTTGAACTTTTATAGATATCCAATTCTTTCAAAGGCCAGGTAAGCAAACAATATTTTAATGAACAAATAAATAAGTGCACAAGTTTACAATATGACACTTTCTGTTCTTATTTCTAAGGAAACAGGTAATTGGAACGATTAGGAAAATGTCATCTTTATAACAAATGAAGATTCCTTCTAATCTTTTCCAATTAAAACCTTTCTTCCAATAAAGAAAACAGCAACATTTAGTATTTTGTAGTGCATTAAATATAACCATGATAAAATAAATTTTACATGCATTCACATGTAACAGTTCACAGGTATGAATGCAAGACATAATTGAATTATGAAAACATTCCATAGATATAGCATTGAATAAAAAATAAAATACAAATATAAATGACATTTATAAAAAATAGTGCTTTGGCCTCTACATATATTCTTCTCTGATCAAAACTGAAATTCTTTCACTTATAAATATTAATAAAATATTTGTGTTTATATTATTAAATAAATGGATTCTAAATTAATCTTTATTTCACACATGAAGAAGATTTTGTTCTTTTTCAGTATCTGTAGCAACCTCTTTATAGCTTTTGTTTGTAGCAAGTCTCTCCTTCTTGTTTAGATACCTGTGAGAAAAAAGAACATCTTTAGAAGAACATAAAATAAGTTGAATCTATTGCAGGTCATGAAATTATCTTCTTTTATTTCTTCAACGTACAGCTTAGATTCTAAGGTACTTTAAAAGGTATTACAATAAGTTCAAAAAACAAAGGCAATGGTGTAGATATGTCAATGAGATTCCTTCATCTTTCCCTGTTCTGTGATTTTTGTTTTTTCCAGAATTCTCTTTCTCTTATTTTCTAATTGAAGGATTTCAAAAGTTACATTTTAGCACATTAAGACATGAAGGCATATGCTATAACATTTTGAATTTATCATTTTGAATATCATTTTGAATATCAAAGTCTGTTTTCACACCATACACAGATGCTTTACTTGAATTTTACTTGAATTTTACAAAAGGACATATTTAAAAACAGTAAAAAATTATTCATATGTAGTGATCTGAATAAAGTCCAGAAATGGAAACAAAATTATTAATACCATCATGACATTCTGCAAATGAGATCAGATTAGACTCTTAAAATGCATTTTAAAAAGCCAATTTGCTTCTGTCCCTTTGACAGCTTTTTGATATGCAGAAATTTTTCAGATAAAATGTTCTTCATTCCCAATCTCAGATCCTTATGTATGTGTGTGTGTGTGTGTATGTGTTTGCTAAATTCACTTTGAAGAGTTTGGGGTGTATATATCTGAAAATACAAAAAGAAATGCAACAGCCTAGCTTTGTATTTGAATTACTATGAAATAGAAGCTGTGGAATGTTTACAATCCCATCTCCAAAAGTGTTGCTTACCTTCGGTAAAAGTATATTGATAATAAAATTGCACTGAAGAAAAATAGACACACAAGGATAGTAAATGCCAAGTATTCATTGCTCAAGGGTTTCATGACCGGATTCAGATTTGAATGGCTACATCGTTCACCAATCCAGCCCTCTTTACACCTAAGGGAGATAGGAAAAAGTCAACATTAGAAATACTGGGGTTTTTAGTATCAAAGATATTGCAAGTTGAGACCACAGTCAACAATGAAGTGCTATTCCAAAGTATCCACCAAAGTACAACATTATAGTAACTCCCTTTTAAGAGAGAATCCGAAGGACTGAACTTCTGGGAAAGGAAACAGATTTATTGGTGTTCTCAACAAATTACGATCCCCAAAATTCTTTTAAGACACAGTTTGTCAACCTTTCTCATTTCACATCACCCTTAGTGGTTCCCTAACTGTGCAGTCTGCACCCTGGGGCACAATGCTCATTAGTCATTCTGTTTATTAATTAGTCAAATATCCTATGTGGCTCTTGCAAATTCACTCTGATTGCAAAGTGCTGTGATGCAGTTTGGGAACTGCAGCTTTAAGCAATACCAGAATAGTTAAAATGAAATTAAACACTTGAAACATAGAGGTACTAATAGCCTTTCCAACCTAATTCCGTCAGGACATATTGGACTACAACTGCTATCAATCCCCTTCTAGCAAAAACGTATCCATACAAGCTGTCAGTGGTGAAATCACAATTTTTTACTACCGGTTCTGTGGGTGTGGCTTGGTGGGTGTGGCAGGGGAAGGATACTGTAAATCCCCATTCCCTCCCCACTCCTGGGTGAAGGATATTGCAAACTCTCCATTCCCACCCCACTCTGGGGCCAGCCAGAGGTGGTATTTGCCACTTCTCCGAACTGCTCAAAATTTCCACTACCGGTTCTCCAGAACCTGTCAAAACCTGCTGGATTTCACCACTGCAAGCTATGGATAAGAGTTTTAATCTCATTAATCTGAAAGATACTAGGTTGTGAAGGCTGTTTTCATATCTATGCATTATGAACACATAAATGAATGAGCTGTTGATAGCCTTAGTTGATGATTATGTGCCATCTAATTACTAAAAACTCTTAGTGACAACACAGATTTTCTCTAGAAAAGCCTCTCTCCTACTTGATCTTTCAGTCTTCTAACAGTATATCCATTGTTGCTGTAACTGAATCCATCCACCTTGCTGCATGTTATTTTCTTTTCTTCCATTTTTCCTAATAGCATAGACTTTTCCAGGTTTCTTTAGAATGTACGTATCTGAAGTATGACTATTTGAAGCTTATCATTTGTACCTTGTGAGGATTGATTTGTTTGATTATCCATTTACTTGGATAATATTTTACTATCCATGGTCTTTTTGGACATGTGTTGCAACACCCGGAAAAATACGGAATACTTCACATAATCCTCCAGGGAAAGATTGAAGGCAAACGAGGTCCAGGCAGAAGAAAAACATCATGGCTTCAAAATCTAAGGGACTGGTTTGGACAAAACTCAGCAGCACTTTTTCGTGTGGCTGTTGATAAAAATAGGATAGTTAACATGATCGCCAACATCCAATGACGGATATGGCACAAGAAGAAGAATCCATGGTCTTCTACAACACCAATGTTCAAAAGAATCCATATTCTTTTTATTTTGCTTCTTCAAAGAACAATTTTCTCTTCCACAGAGAAACCACATTGCCTCCATTATTCTGATCTTTGTAAGTATGGATAAAGTCCAGTATCTGAATCTTTTCCAAGCTTTCATGGCTAACTCCACCATGTGTAGTCTGTGGCATATTTCTTGATTGCTTTATTCTTGATAAGAATAAAAGACAGAAGCTATCCACCGCTTCAATATCTTTATTATCAATTTTAAGGCTGGTTGAAGAACCTGTTGACATTAGTTTGGTCTTCTTTATCTTTAATTTTAATCCTAGTTTCTTTGTGTACCTTGACTTTCATTACTAGAACTTATATGTCATTTGTATTTTCAATTGTCAGAATAGTTTCAGCCTCTTTCTCCAATTTTAAAACAGTGCTCTTCTTCTTCCAAACCAGTCTCTTTCAAAAACAAAAAACAAAAACCCAAGATGATGACAATTTAGCAGCTCCTGAAACAAGCTCTTAATATGTGACTCACTTCCCTGCCCTTGGCTGAGTCTTACAGCCTAAAATGACATCCAAAGGGAAGAAAAAAAAATTCCAGTCCAGTCCCAGTAATGACTCTCAGGGCCATGTGTCTAATAAAGCTTTGGTCTTTTTCAATATCCAGAAATATTATCTAATATAAGCAGATGTAAGATTTTTTTTTCTAAATCAAAAGGGCAAGTAATGTTAGCATTCATGCACAAAGATTTTCTCCCCCAACTAGTAAGATAAAACACAACAAAACAGAGAACTGTGGCTAGTTTTGAAGTATTCTAGGATTCCTGTTGTTTCTATCTTGCTAGTTGGGGTTAGTGTTAGGATTAGAAGTGTTGAAAAAATCAGATTGAGCAGAGAAGATAAGGTTGAATAGAGAAAATCAATCTGTGTGGACATTAAGAGTCAATGCCAATTCAATGACTCATAATCGTTAATTCAAAATTATTGACAGTTTCAAAGGTTTCTACACTTCTATGCAATAATTAGTTCAAGCAGGGAGGAGAAAGACCAATAGCAAGCTAGAATGTAATCAAAACTTTCATTAATTCTGTTCCAGTTTCTATTTAACAGCAAACTTCTAGAGGGGTATGGAGGTAAGAAAAATAGTTCCTGAATTTCTGTGTCTTCAAAGTAGAGGGACAGGAGCAGCAGTTTTAAAGAAAAGTGTGCTTACTTAAAAAGCTAAGCATTATCATCATTATTTATTGTTATTACCATCATTTCCACACTTTACTTCACAGCATCTCTTTTACCTGCAGTAATATCGGTCCAAACTCTCTGCGTATCTGCAAATTCCATTGAAACAGTAACTTCGCCATTCTGGCTTGCATTCTGTCTCTCTTCCCACCTGAGTTATAGGTACAGCAGTTCCTGTTTGAATGACAGTAAACACATGCATAAATAAAAGCTAACCTGCATTATCATCTGTGAAGACATGGCTTTCTTCAAGGATCAAAGACATGCAGGTAGGGTGACTCTACTGAAGTCTAAAAAGCTGTGGTGTCAGCCATCCTGGGCAAAATGGGTCCCTCCTTTAACTTGGTGTAATGCATCTTCTGCATGCTTACTTTGGTCTTCCTAAAATCTAAAGTCAAATTATTTTTCATGTTAAGGATAAAACTTTCTCTTCCTTAACATGGATTGGCAGAAGGCCAAGGCTAGATGGCATAGTGGGTAAGAACTTTAAAATTAGATCTGGGGAAATCCAGGCTCAGCTGGGAATATATATAGCCCAGATTGATGCTTTTTCTCAATCTTATTTATTTCATAGGATTGTAACAAAGAAAAAAAGGTAGGTTTAAAAAATATATAAAATATTTTTCTACAATTTCAGGATGTCTCTTTTTAAAAGAAAATCAAAATGGTATTACTCATTAGAAAAACCATAATTAAATACTTGTCAGAAAGATAAGATGTTGGCTTATTAAAAATTGTTTTGAGTACATTTAAAAAAAAACCCTTTTCTTTCAATATCTGGATATTACAAGGGCTTCCAGATTTAATGTGGTCATTTCATACTGTTTGCACTTTAGAGCACAAAGCATCTGAAGTATTTCCGGAAAAGTCTATTGGAAAATGGAATGGAATGGAAGCTGATTAAGAATTCCCAAAAGTTTCCATAGATGCCTTTAAGCCGTTTACAGTAAAAAAAAAAGTGTATTTAGTGTCATCCATCTGTATCCCTGGCATGTGTGGAACATGTAACAGAAACAAGACTCAGAAACAAATCTCATTTCCAAAGAAATACAATTTTAATTTTGACAGAAAGGAGATGTGACTATGATGAGTGCAAAAGTGCCAAGAAGCAGAAGATATGCCAACTGTTAAGGATACTGGAAGTACTTGTTTATTTTATTCATTATCTGGATAATATCCTGATATTTTAGTGAATACTAGAGAATAATCCAACTTACCTACAGTAGTTACACAGTTTTCAGTCTTATTGACTCCACATAACGGAATTACTGTTGTACTAAGAGTGGTTTGAACTAGGTGCCATCCTAAAAAACAAAACAAAACAGCTTTAAGAGAATAGACACTTCCAGAAAAAGTTTCCATGTCATCATGGAAAGTTTCCATTGTGTCATGTCAGTGAATAGTTCACTGTTCATGCCACTTTACTTCACCTCAAAGCAGTGATGGGATTCAAGTAATTTAACAACCAGTTCTCTGCCCTAATGATTTCTTACAACAACCAGTTTGCCAAATTGCTCAGAAAGTTAACAACCAGTTCTCCCGAAGTGGTGCGAAGTGGCTGAATCCCACCACTGCCTCAAAGGCTGACATAACAGAATGTGCCACCTACAAATTCCCAGCCACCACTGACACACAGTAGTCCTAATTTAAGGAAAATCTCAAGTTAAAGAAGGAGTTACCCCATTTCTAGACTCATAATCAAATTTATGAAGACTTGTGGAAGACAATAGAGGTAATGGTGCAAACAAGGAGAATATCACATTCTTGAACACTGAGAAGAAAAATTACTGATTCAACCATGCAATTAAAATTTTGAATACATCTCCTTGGCCTCAGCAATTCTAAACTATGTAGTTTCGAAGTTCAAGGTGCAGCTGAAACTGTTTGGAAACTGTAGCCAGAAGGCAGTTTCTAAGAAGAATTTTGTTGCCTAAACAGTGTCTTTCATGAACAGACTATGCAGAACAAAGTTCTCCAATTTATGCCAGGATGATGGCTCATAATTGCTACCAAAAATATTCCCAGTAGTTGTATAATATGTTTAGCAGCACTCCTTTTATCATCAGGTTTCCCTTTTCCTACTGCCTACATTCTAGTGTTGGGTCAGAATGTTGCGTAATGGATAAAATTAAGATGGTGGAGAAACTACCTATCCTGGAGTAAAACAACAACAACTACAAACTAAGCACCTCCTGTTGAGATGGGTTTGGCAGACGAAGAAAGACCTGATCTATAATTAGGAGTTGAAATTAGTGGCTGTATTTCTTTGAGAAAAGATCAGAATTTTCTCAAAGTGCAGAAAATATGCAGAAAGTGATAGTCAAACCAAAGTAATTATTGAGCCACTGAACAACTCAGTTAACAAATCTTTTAATCAAAGAGTTGAAGTGTTGATCCAGGCAATTTGCACTTCTAATACTGAACACAATTCTTGGTAATTTTATCACTTCCTTAATTTATGTTGTACTGAGGAACACATTTTAAAATTGAACTTGAATAGCAGAAGATCACAAAGTTGCTGAAATTTCTATGACTGATGAGGTAAATTAGCAAAGATATTATCTCGAGAGCTATCATTCAATTTTAATTAAAATTAAATAAAATTGCATTGGTCCTCTTGTATTTAATAAGTTTATTATCAAAATTAGAAATGAACAATTCTTTTCTGGAAGCTATACTCTGAACTATTGAATATTGTATGAGGTGCCAGGTTCTTTAGGTTGTAAATACTTGGCTTAACATAATGTGTGAACACAACCTCTGACTTTTGGACTGGATAAACTCAATTTTTGACACTAAACCATATTCAACAAAGCTTAACAGCAATAGCACTTAGACTTAAATACCGTTTTACAGTGCTTTACAGCCCTCTCTAAGAGGTTTATAGAGTTAGCATATTGCCCCCAACAATTTGGGTCCTCATTTTATCCACCTCGGAAGGATGGAAGGCTGAGTAAACCTTGAAGCCTGGTAAGATTCGATCTGCCATTTGCAGACAGCCAGCAGGCAACAGAAGTAGCTTGCAGTACTGCATTCTAACCACTGTGCCATCGTGGCCCATCATAAGATTAAATATCAATTGAAGCATAGGTATATTGCTGGCTAAGAGTGTCAACAGCTGTGATCCTAAGAAAATAACAGACCTTGATTCTGTCACTTATGATTTGATATCCAGAACTGCACATAACTGGAGGTAGCTCAGAAGCTTTCACTGATACAGGTACTAGGATGTATAGTATACTGACTGACTGTTCTGATCTTATTAAACCAATTATGCATTAATTGCAAAGGATACCAGTTTCTTTATCATCCAATCCAAAGTGATATCCTAGACCTGTATAGGGTCTTTAATAGTTAGGGCCAAATTAAATTATGGCGAACAACTATATGAATTTGAATTTGAATTTGAATATGAATTTGAATTTCCCAAGCGACCATGGGGATCCTACATGAATGACTGCAAGGAAAAATAGAGGTTAACAGAAATGAGATACAGGGTCTTTGGCAGGGGCTAATTCTTATCTGCAGGTTCTAGGATAATCTTATCTCCAAATTTTCTCTTAGATGTTACTCCAAAAGAGTGACAAGAGGCTTAGTTATTCTGACTTTCTCATCTAAACCTCCCCATGCTAGTCCCTTCAGGCCATGAAAATGCTTTACAGAGCAAAGTAGGACTTGAAAGGAAATGGTATCAGATTTGGTACCAAGTTCTGGATGACCATTAGATGGAAACAAAGACTCACCATTGCTGCCATCTAGAAGTTATATGGAATTCTGCATTCTAGTCCTATTCAAGGAGAAGCTATTAACCAAACGAGAATTTAGCTTTAATCTCAGCCAAATTTAATCATGTTTATAGCTAAACTTTCTCCCAAGAAAGTTTAGCTATAAACTTATCAGAAGGCTAACCTAGTTTTAATTCCATGACAAGTCCTGAAGAGAATTGGGAAATCAGGGTTTCTTTTGATATTTTCAATCTTTCAAGCCTACTCAAGGAAAAGGGATGGCTGAATTAATTAAGTTGGTATTTAAATTCATGAATTGAATTCCCCTCATGGAAAATAGCTGTTGTGCAATTTGGTGATCGATTCTTCTCTCTCTCTCTCTCCCAAACAATATAATCTATCATTTCTTTTTTTGGAGAGGTTTTTGAGACTTTAGAAAGCATGCAGAGAAGAGCAACAAAGATGATTAGGGGACTGAAGGCTAAAACATATAAAGAACAGTTGCAGGAACTGGGTATGTCTAGTTTGATGAAAAGAAGGACAAGAGAAGTGGGACATGATAGCAGTGTTCCAATATCTCAGGTGCTGTCACAAAGAAGAGGGAGTCAAGCTATTCTCCAAAGCACCTGAGGATAGAACAAGAAGCAATGGGTGGAAACTAATCAAGGAGAGAAGCAATTTAGAACAAAGGAGAAATTTCCTGGCAGATAGAACAATTAATCAGTGGAACAACTTGCCTCCAGAGGTTGTGAATGCTCCAACACTGGAAGTTTTTAAGGAGAGATTGGATAACTATTTGTCTGAACCCTGTGTAGGGTTTCCTGCCTAAGCAGGAGGTTGGACTAGAAGACCTCCAAGATCCCTTCCAACTCTGTTATTCTAGGTTGGGGAAGACGGACCAGCCACATGAAAGTTAATATTTATCCATGCTTTAACTTTTGAGGCAAAGAGGTCTTGAAATGATATGATCTTATCTCTGCAGCCTCCAAAAATTCAGCATTAAAAAAATTAAATTTGGTCGAAGCATATAATCTTTTTCTGGGTAAAGTCTGTAAAATACAGCCTCTGGATCCTCAGGGATATATTTTCTCTTCCTTGCGCCCAGCCAAAAGTATCCATCCTATCACCCCCAAAAACAATGACGCTGTAAAGCTAACATTTTTTTCTACTTCTGTAACAAAATCATTGGGCATTTGCAGCAGGAAACAATGGAATGACCAATAAGCGCTCTTAGGACATGGCGCCCCTTGTATTGAACCACAACGCAACTTTGCCTCAGCAACATCTCTACTTGCCACATCCCCATGGCATTAACTGTGTACTGTTCCCAATTTGCGACTCAGACAGCTCTAACTGTACCAGTGTTAAAGGAGGGTTCTCCTCTTTCCTATTGCCTTTAAGACGTTACCTAGTCACTTTGGTGAGGAGTTAACTCAGGGGTCTCCAACCTTGGCAACTTTAAGACTTGTGGACTTCAACTTCCAGAGTTCCAGCCAGCTTTGCTGTGGAAGCTGGCTGTGGAATTCTGGAAGTTGAAGTCCACAAGTCTTAAAGTTGCCAAGGTTGGAGACCTCTGAGTTAAGTGACTGGCAATGACTAGCAAAAGAGGTAATAAAGACATGATAGGATAGAAAGCAGTGTAAGCTATCATGCCTTTCGTTTGTACCGGGCGGGGGCATTCACGTCGTTGGTCAGCGGCTGGAGCGAAAAGAAGGAAGGGCAGCTTACCCAAGAAAAGCAGGGCGCCTCCGAGGCTCTGAGAGCTACAACCAGCCATTTGTCCACCGTCACGGAGCAAGCTGTCTTTGATGCCGGGTTGTTTTTTACGCGATGTAAAGGACTGACGCCCGGTTTCTGCTAGCCGTCGAAGGAGAGCGCTACTCTTCTGCTACGCTCGGCGCGCCTTCCTATTTTATAGCCTCCGGATCCGGGGGCGGGCGGGGGCTGGGCTCAGGCAAGCTTATGCAAAGCGTTTGAATTTCCCCGCTGACGAAATCGCGGCTGGAGGTGTCTTTCCACAGAGGGGTTAAGGCAGGGCTGCTCCCTTCACCTGCTTCGCTCTAAAGGCAGAAAGGAAGGAGGGAGGGAGGGAGCGCGGCCCTCTCAAATTCGACCGCAAAGAAAGAGGCGTCCGCGGAACCTTCACAGCGTCTGTTGGGAAATAGGTGAATCTGGGCCTGATTCTGGTTTCCTGTTAAGCTGGATTCCAGTGGAATCTCCTCTCGAGGAAGCCTTTCATTCAATGGTACGGTCCCAAGAGCTCCAGAGAAGGCATGGCTTGGCTCCAGGATGTCTGCGGGCGGAGTCGTGATAGGTAGAGCTGGACGAGCAAATGCAGGTGCAAGGGCAGGTGATTTTTTTCTCACCCCCCCCCCACACTCCGCGATTGCAGCTGCGGATCCATAGGCGGGGGAAGTAAGAGGGAGGAAGCGGAAGGGCTGGCTCCCATTTAAGGACTGGTTTGCTGTTTGCTTGCTTCAATCCCTGTTGTGATGAGGTTGGCAAATAAAGAAATAATACCCAGATTAGATAATCTGAATAGGTATAAATCGGGAGTGACGTGAGTCCTCAAGCGGCTGTGAAAATGACCTTTCGGCTCCCAGATGAAACATCTGAATGTTGGCAATGCAATAGAGATGGCAGAAAAGGCCATTTAATGGCCAGATCCAAAATACCCGATTCTCCTGCACCGAATCCAGGCTTAGACACGTTTAAAGTATTTATTTTTATTTATTTATTTTGTCAAGCATGTGTAAGATTACAGAAAAAGTATAAACATGATTGTGAATACATAAAATGTATAAACATGGGAATGAATACATGGGAACATTAGGACAGGCACGGTAGATACTCTGGTGCGTTTATGAACGCCCCTTACAGACCTCTTAAGAATGGGGTGAGGTCAACAGTAGACAGTCTAAGAAAGTTATGGGGGTTTGGGGAAGTAACCACAGAGTCAGGTAGTACATTCTAGGCATTGACCACTCTGTTGCTGAAGTTGTATTTTCTGCAATTGAATTTGGAGCTGTTTACCTTAAGTTTGTATCTATTATTTGCTCATGTGTTGTTGCGGTTGAAGCTAAAGTAGTCATTGACAGGTAGGACATTGTAGCAGATAATTTTGTGTATTACACTTAAGTCAGATGAAAATATATGCATCCCACTGATTTCCACTTTGAAGCTGCTGTTTATATATATATAATGCTAATCCAGGTTTCATGGAAGTCTAGATTTGCACATTATTAAGGTTTAGTGAATGGACTCGTACTTCTCAGTAAACCAGAAAGAAGCAAAACACATTATTTATTTATTATTTATTTGTCAGATTTATATGCCGCCCTTCTCCCATAGGACTCGGGGCGGCTCACAACAATAAAACAACCCGACAATAGATAAACATTAAATAATATTAAAAACCAATTAAAATCCCCAAATCCCCAAGTTAAAATCCATGGCAGATCAGGGAAGTTGCTGAAAGAGCCATGTCTTTAGGTCGGTACGGAAGGTGCGGAGGTCGGGGGCCGTCCGGAGCCCAGTGGGCAACCCATTCCAGAGAGTCAGTGCAACCACAGAGAACGCCCTCATCCTGGGGACCTCCAGCCGACACTGTCTGGCCGAGGGGACCCGGAGGAGGGCAACCCTATGTGAGCGCACTGGGTGGTTGGAGGCCGGTAGGAGGTGATCCTGAAAATACCCTGGGCCCATGTCATGAAGGGCTTTATAGGTGAGTACCAGCATCTTGAAGCGGATCCGGAGGATCACTGGCAACCAGTGCAGATTGCGCAATAGTGGTGTTATATGGGAGTAGCGGGACACACCCGTAACTACTCGCGTGGCTGCATTCTGAACCAGTTGGAGCCTCCGGGTGCAGCCCAAGGGCAGCCCCATGTAGAGGGCATTGCAGTAATCCAACTGAGAGATAATGAGAGCATGAGTGACCGTACGGAGGGCGTCCCTGTCTAGAAAAGGGCATAACTGGCACACCAGGCGAACCTGTGCAAATGCCCCCCTTGTCACGGCCGTTAGATAGTCCACTAAATACAGCCATGAATCAAGGAGGACGCCAAGATTACGAACCCTTTCCGAGGGAGCAAGACGCTCCCCTCAACAGTGATGGGGGATCTAGATCATGGGACGCCGGTATCCACAGCCACTCTGTCTTGGAGGGGTTGAACCCGAGCCTGTTCCTACCCATCCAGACCCGTATCCAGACATTAGTCCCAAAGGTGCTTTTTCAGGATGCAACTGGACTGTCTTGTTTGTTTGTTTGTTTGTTTTTGAAGACATTTCGCTTCTCACCCAAGAAACTTCTTCAGCTCTGACAGGATAGTAGGGAATGGAAGGATTCATATTCCTTGCAGAAGCTGGTAATTTGCATCCTTTTAGAGGGTCCTTGAAGCACTTAGAGGTTTATCTGTGTCCTCAGGGTCACCTGGGTAGTGCAGCAATTTTTTTCTCTGGAAATCGATTCCTATTCCCACATCATTCAAAGGGGGTTCATCCCAAATTGTATAGCTAAATATCTACAGAGATTCTCAGTCATCCAGGTCATGGTTGTCCTGGTGCTTTTTCAGGAGGCAACTGGACTTTCTTGATTTTTCTTTGAAGATGTTTCACTTCTCATCCAAAAAACTTCTTCAGCTCTGACAGGATGGTGGGGAATAGAAAGTCCAATTGCCTCCTGAAAAAGCACCTTTGGGACAACCATGACCTGGATGACCGAGAATCTCTACATATAATGCACATTAGAGATTGTTCTTAATTTATGCCCAGAATTGAGCCCAAAATATCAAGATGGTTGTTAAGTGTGTTTTGTCCCATTTTCTGACCTTTCTTGCCACAGCTGTTAAGGGCATCATTGCAGCTGTTAGTAACACAATTAAGTGAATCTGGCTTCCCCACTGACTTTGCTTGTCAGAAGGTTGCAAAAAGTGGGATACTGCAACAGTCATAAATACAAGCCAGTTGTTAAGATTTTGATCATGTGATCACAGGGATGCTGTAACAGTCCTAAGTGTGAAAAATATTCATGTCACATTTTTCAGTGCCATTGTAACTTTGAATGATCACTAAAGGTATGGTAATAACTTGAGGAGTACCTGTACAGTTTAGTATTAAAGACCAATATACCTGGATATATTATGCTATCTTGTATTTATGATAATTATTTGGGATTAGGAAAACAAAACTCTTTCAATAGTATAATTCTCCCTCTCTTCTTTTTTCAACTGCCTTGTTCAATGAATACCTTGCTACTAGAACTTTGTATTAGTTCTTCTAGGTTTCCTAAGCCCAGCTTTTGAGTGATAGTTTAACTAAAATGAAGCCATTTACCTAAATAAAGTATCTTCATGAAAATTACTTTTTTTGCTTTATTTATTCAATAAAGGGGGAAAACAATAACAGGAAAAAGACAAAAATTGTGTACTGTACAACAAAAACAAATTATGTAAGACATAAGGATTTATGCACTGATTATAGACAATGAATTAGATAAATTTATAAGAGATCAGAAGTGATTTGTGGATTTTCTCTGTATACAATACAATAACTGATCATTAACAGAGGAATTTGAAGTTTAGTTTTATCTTGGGGTTACCTGTTGATTTTTTAATTTGATATACACACACGCACACATGCAGACACAAACAGACACCAAACAAAGATTGGGTAATTTGATTGCTTGTCAAATATATTTTCACATCAGGGACAAAGTTTTATATAATATGGTATTTTCATCAAATATAATTTAGATAGGAAAGTTTATAACTACATGTAACTTGTTATGTGAGACGAAGAGAATACATCAGATTTTTAATATATTTGTTAGCATTCAACCAAGGTAGACTTTTTATATTCAGTATTAGTGTCAATGATGTATTCATTTTTTGTTTTTGTTTTTTGTACATATTCTTTTTCTTTCTTTCTTTTTTTGTTTCTGTTGTTGGCATTGGATGGTTGTTAGTTTGCTTCCTAATTTTTTGTTTTGTGTTTTAGCTTTGGAAATAAAAAAAATGAAGAAGGATATAAGGATTTATGTTTGATTTGTAAATCAAAGAATTGATTTACAAATATTGAACTGCCTGTTCAATAGCTGAGCTCTACTAAACATTTTAAGCTTTAATTCCTTACCCATAAAATATGAGCCTCTGCTGAATGCTTTTTTTCCAGGTCCAGTTTTAGAATTTAGTGAAATTTAATGAAAAACAGAGATCTAAGAGATTTAAACTTGTACATGCAGGTTTATGAGATAGGAGTGCAATGAATGACTGGCCTCTAGTAAGCAGCATATTTGAATGTTGCAAGCTGAGGAAATCTGATCTATCCCATAACTCTAAATAGTTTGACAAAGTCCTTGTCTCCAGGGATTTCTGTGTGTTTGTGCATGTATGTGAAAAATCTGAGCCAACTTTCCAAAGTTATCTATTCGTTGGCCTTCCAGGGAATTAATACTAGCAATTCTTACAGCTAAACTCAGGGTTAGTGTTAAGGGCAGGGGTGTCAAACTCGTTTTCATTGAAGGCCACATCAGGGTTGTGTTTGACCTCAGGGGGCTGGGGTGGGCACGACAAGGGTGGATGTGGCCAGTTCGGCATCATTCGTGTCAGGTGCTCCTGTGGTGGCCAAGTGCTAAGGCAGGACTTCCCCTAGATCCTCCCTCCCTCTCATTATAATTTCCTTCCTTCCTTCCTTCCTTCCTTCCTTCCTTCCTTCCTTCCTTCCTTCCTTCCTTCCTTCCTTCTCCTTTCTTCTTCCTTCCTCTCTTTCCTTCTTTTTCCTTCCTTGCTCTCTTCCCATCTTCCCATCTTTTTCTTTGTCTTTCCTGTTTCCCTTACTCCTTTCTTGTCCCTTCTTGAATGCTCAAATGCGAAAGAGGAAACATTTCTCCTTTTGTTTTGTTTTGTTTGCTTTTAGTTTGTTTTGCTAGGCCTCTGCCAGCAAAAATGGAGCTCGGGGAGGTTGTGTGCACACACACCCGGGCCCTGTTTTCGCTTACAAAGGGCTGCAG